CCAGATAGTCTAAGGATTTAGGCCTCTTTCCACTTATAGCTCAATTAGAGCCCTCCAAGAATAGTTCTAACATAATTTCAAACTGTTCCCTAATCAAGTTAAATGGTCTCAGGATAATTTTCTAAAATATATAATTTATGTACTATGTGTTCCCCTTCAGGGCAACAAAATCCACATAGTATATTAAAATTTATAACTGTGTTTATTTACCAATACTGAACACTTGCCAAACAGCAATTTAAGACCATGAGAAATTACGCCCTCAATTTTAATAGAGCACTGAAAACTATGTTTGCCACCAGCTTTCAAGCAAAACCCTGGCCGTCTAAGCCAATTTTTAAACGTCAGATTTATGGGGCAGCGATCCTAACTAAAAATGCCAATCCACCCCTTGGCCACTGCTACCACACTGCCACCTCCTGTCTTATTGCTTCTAATCAAAGGCAAGAGTCGATAAAGGAAACTTAGCTAAGAATAGCACAGCCTGTCTCCTTCCTCCTAGACCAAATCAACCACCAGAGTTACTGAATGGGTAATTCATACCTTTCAAAAATGTTACTGCTGGAAGAGTTGCTGTCTTAATGCTGCTAAAGACAATTACAATGGAGTTGCTTTCAATACACATCAAGGTAGTTCAACAGCTTCATTTTCATACAAAATCCCAGACCTGTAAGAACACATTAACTGCAGTGGTATGGCTCATAAAAGAATTTCAAAGCATGGCAAAGATCATTTCCCTCTTGCTGACTGCCTGAAAGAGGTACACGTGCACAAGCAACTGAGCTACCAAACTACAGAAAAGAAACACAAGTCAAGTTTCTTACAGGGGAAAGCCCAGATCCCTGTAATTCCAATAGGTATTTTTTACGCCTTAGCTGCTAACTCATTTATTTCAAGCAGAATGGCAAATCAGAACAAAATATGCCCCTTGTTAGTTTATTATAATGGATTTGGCAGGAACAGATCACACAAGTCAAAAGGAGAGCCAGAAACACAAGTCAAGAGTGTCAGCCCTCACCGGCTCCAGGCACATGTCATGTTTCCCTACCATCTTCCTTGTTACTGTGGACAGCCACACACACACACACACTTAACATTTATTTTTTGTTTAAATTCTAATAAGGCCAAAGTAAGAAATCTTTTCAACTCTTTCAAACTGTACTGAGAAAACAATAGGAAGGCAAGAAAAATCTCATTGGCTACAATCACTTACGCAGTCATGCATTGCTGATCTGAAAGTGAGCACGCCAAAGATAACTTTGCGTAAGAATCTTTACCGGCCGCAGAGGTTTCCTACCGTTCAGAATGTCACGTCTCTGCATGTGTGAAAAATCTCCCAGTTTACAAGGTTCACCTGCACCGGTCTGATAAGCAAGAAGCCCCACCGCTCTCCCCACCTATGTTTGAGTGGTCTGCATTAAAAACAGCTTTTGTTGTCCTGGGACAACAGGGTCATATGTCCTGGCTAAGGGGCACACAGCTGGTCATGGCACCCACCAATTCTGTACGAAGCTATTACAATGCAGCACTAGCATTTAAATAGCCATTTAAAGTAAGGTACACTGAAAACCCCAGTAAGTTTTATATGTGCTCTATCTGATTTACACATTAGACACAAGACTAATATGGAAGTGAGTTGTTTCTTTAATTTTTTTTAATAATGAAACAAAACAAAAAAGACATTTGAGCTTAGGCACCGCAGTCTAACAAATTCTTCCTGAAAAAAATATTAACTATAATATCCTAGTGGCTTTCTCCTCTAATCAAATATATATTTGGCTATACAGCCTCATCGATACATCTTAACGGCCAAACCATGAGGAAGTTGAAGCAATAACACACTGAAAATATAAAACATTTTCTTAATTTAAAAAAGTAATGGAAAGTGAAGTAAAACCACCATCCTCTCAGTTCCCCAGTGTCAGCGACTTTCCTGGTCTCTCTCCCATGCCCAACAGCCCACAACATAACAACAAAAATATCAGCAGTATTTACATAATCACATAGGGGCACATACAAGGTCCCACAAAGATACCAGTGGCTCTTCCCAACAAACTCAGCTACAGTCTTCCAAAGTTACGATCTCCACACCCATCCTTAACTTAAACTTAACCCCCAAGTAGAAGGGTTAAGCTTATACCTCAGAGTGAAGCCACATCTCCATGTGCTAGAGCTTCTAGATTTGGAACAGAAAGGCTACCCTATCACCAATATTCAGTGCAATCCTCTCTTCACTCTGGATGCAGGGGACCTCAAGCTCTGTTAAGCGCTGCTATAAACTTCCCCAATGGAGGGGTATCTGAATGCAGAAAAGCAACATTCCTTTCACATTCCCTTGAGACTTCGGTAATCAGGAGCTAAGCCTGGTCTGAACCAAATTCAACAATACCCCTTCCTGAAAGGGTCCCCTCCCAGCTCTGCTCCTAGTCAGAGTTGGGCGAGGCTGCCAAGCATCAAATCACTTCCCAGGCCCGCTCCCCTGTGTAGTCGCTGCAAGACCATTCATCCATCTCAGAGTGCTGCCATAAGCATTCTTCAGCACAGGGCTCCCAACATGCCTTGCAAAGCAGGTATAAAGGTCATCGCTGCATATGTGGGTGTGCCTGCCTCAGATGCCTACATGATGATGGGATGGAATGCAATGACTGCTAAGCACAAAGAACTCCACCCAAAGTCCAGCAGGCGCACTTGGCAAGGACTGGTCTGCGGCAGTGAACTCACTGTCACCAGTACCTCCTCCTGATCTTCCTATAGGCGCTGGGCGCTGGGTCACTGGGGTTCCTTCTCCGCCCTCTCCCAAAGCCCATTCAGACTGGGGAGGTGTTCAGATAAGGGAAGCTGCCTCTCAGCTCCAAGGTTCAGTTCAAACAAAATTATAAGATGGATTCCCAGAAAATTTCTCTTAAGAAAATTCCAGAAAAGAAAACTCCACTTTTGTTTTTAACCATCTCAATACAAGCAAAGGAGTTACTTGATAATTCCCTAAACCAGTAAAAAGTTGTTTCCAGTGTACTCCTATTTATTTTGCTAGTAAGATAGTATCATTTAAAATCCTGAGCATTTTAATTTAATCTACATTGTTAATAAACTGAAGAGACTTCCATGGATAAATTCTTGCATCCACTGGTAACATTTTACCTTATGTGCCTTCCTATAAAGAGGAACCTGCTCTTATAAAGTAGCAAGTAACTAAGTTATGTTTTTAGGTTAAACAAAAGCCTTTAAGAATAAAACAGGCAGTCCTTACCAGATGTTTTAAATTCAATTCCCTACACATGGGGAGAAATTAACACCAAGTTGGAAAGTAATCTGCATTTGCATGCAGGTCAAAGAGTTATATCTGAGAAGCAATAGACATTTGATTTTTAAATTTAGAAACTCTCAAATGTTAAAATGCCAGTCCTTCAACGCAATCATTTGCTTATTTTTTTATTCAATATTTGAAGAAAATTAAGACACACTCGCTAAACATGAAACCATTTAGAATTTGCAGAACCTGCTTACAGCCCCCCCACTCAGGGTAAACAATTCAGACTATGTCTTTAAACTTTTTAAGGAAATACGACTTCATCCTCAATTTTTTTAATTCCTATTAAACTAAGATCACTTTAGATACTTTTCAGTACACATTCTACTATGTTAGTAAATTTATAAAAAGAATTCCATTCTATTATATAAAATTATTTGACCCCCTACGAAATTCCCAACTAGAACTTAATCTACCTGGTCACGCAAATGTCTTTCCAAATATCCTAATGAAAATTAAGTACATGAACAAGAGAAATCCACAAAAATCCAAACCAACTTGCTAACAAAAACACAGTTGGTGAAAATGCTTTACCTGGAAGAGAACTCAATCTAGAAATAAGCAAACAAGAACATTGTCTTTGTCCACCTCTCTCTCTGCACAGCAAGGGGGAAATACGTAGCAGGCCCCTCCTGCCCTCCAGCACCCACGCTATCACCAATACCTAATCAGACACAAACAGTCCTAGTTTAAATTAACTTCCAGGTTATTCGTTGGCCGGGGCTGGGAGTGGGGAGATAGGAGGGAAAAAACCAGGAACCCCAACCTCACCTTGGGAAACCCAGCAAGGCAGAGGCCAGCCCCAGCACCCCTGGGGAGGAGCAGCACCCTCCCAGTTAGGGTTACCGAGCGAGCGGGGATCTTGGCTTGATCTTGAGAAAGGAGCCATATCTCCAGAACGCTCCATAGGGTAAAACCCAGCCTCCAAACATTCTATAAAGTGACACACTACACATGCTCTCGGAAAAGTGCAATGCCTTGGCTGCAGGGGCCCAAATATTGAGTCTTCACGATCTCTGGGTAGTTACTTGTAAGCAAAAATACTTTTTATAAAGGGTCGGGGGAGAGAGGAGCAGGAGACAAAGGCGGTTCGCAGAAACCTGGGTACCTCTGGAGTGACTGAAAAGCGCTTCTGGGCAGGAAAAGGCCAGGCGTTCACTCACGTGTCCCAGCCCTCGCTGGCCAGCTAACAGGGGAAAGGCAACTTCTCCCCTCCCAGACGTGCAGGCGGCTCCCAGGCCTCTCAAGGAAAGGCAGGCCACATTCGCGAGTGTCTGCAGCTGCTTTCGCCCGCCCTGCCCCTATAAGTAGGAGGGGGGCAGGGGGTCGCCCTTGGCTTCCTAAAGTCCTACAGATTCCCCAAAACTGCCCTCTGAGACCGATTTCCTGATGCAACTTGCCTTCCTCTGCCGGGGAATGTTTTAGTTGTGAGAGCTTCCTTGAGAGACTTCTACACCAAGGACACTAATTGAGTGTCAAGGACCCACCAACAAACCCTCTGTCCTTCGCAGCATTACCCACGCGCGCACACCTGCCACACACTTAAATGCAAACGAAAAAGACGAGTCCAAGCCATAGAGCCAGCAGCCCAAAAAGCATTAAGAGGAAAAGTTGTCTTCAGCTGTGTTGACAATCTTTCCTCCCAATCATGGGGTAAGCACGGAATCGACGAGAACAGAATAAATAAACTCACCTTTGCCTTTTGGGGACTGAGTGCTCAACTTCTATGAGTTTCCCGTGCAGTTCTACTTTACCTGCGGACACACAAGAGATGGAAGACAGTTGGCAGCGTTCAGCGGCTCTCCGGGCCCGAAGGACCCGCACGGCCTTAGCGGCGACACCAGTGGCCTCCTGACAACCAGAACGGCCCCCGGAGGCGACTCCAGGCCGAGGGAGAAGCCCGGGGCCGCGCGAGGAAGGCCGCTCACCCCCTCCGAGCAGTGCAACTTACAGACGGGTGGGGCGGGGAGTCCCTTGGCTGCCCCGCTACTTCGGTCACATTCTTCCTCCCGACCCTCGGGCTCTAACGCCCACCTCAGGGGGTCACCCAACCCCCAGACCGTCGCTGGACGGACGAGGCCCCTCCATGCACCTCTCCCGACACTCGCGGGATACAAATTTGGGGGAGGGGCGCCCGAGCCCTTCTCCAGGTTCAAGCCCAGGCCCGTGGGGAACAGGGAGTGGCGGGAAAGGCGGGAGGACAGTGGGGTGCGCGCAGAGAAAACGCCGGCGGCACAGCCCCGCGCGGAATGGGCAACGCGCATAGGGCGGTGCGGCGCCCACCACACGGACAGGCTCGGGCTCCCGGAGGGACCGGAGAGCAGCCTTCCCTTGGGGCGTTCCCTGTCCTCGCCGAGCGCGCCCGCCGCCCCCCGCGGCCGCAGCCCCAGGCCGGGCGCGGAGAGCGGCGGCTCCCTCCCCGGCGACCACCCGCCGCCCCCACCCACCTGCCCCTCTGGCTCGTGGGACACGGGCGAGGTGGAACTTGGAACCCGGGTCGCACTCGCCCGCCTCCCGCTGGGTGAGGAGGCAGCGCGGGGCCGCTGGTGCGAGGCACCAGCCCGCGGCCTCGCTCCGCAGTGGGGTCGAGGCCACTCTGCGTTCGCCCACGGTCGGGCCTGCGGTGGGATCGGGGTCAGCGAATCCAACACCGCCAAGTAACGAGCCGAGGGGAGGAAGGAAGGAAGATAGGCGGGAGAAGCCGCGTCCACGCTCGGCGCCCGCGGCCCAGCGTGCGGGAGCCTGGGGCACGCGCCTGGGCCCGGGCGGGGCGCGGGGCGAGCGCGGCGGGTCCAGCGCGGGCGGCGCCCCTCCCCCGGCCCCGCTCCCCGGCTCCGCCACGGTCCCCGCTTCCCTTCGGAGCCCGCGCCCGGGCTTTCTTGACAGCGCGTCCGCCCTGAGCCCGCAAAGCCCCGGCGCGGGGAGTAGAGCGGCAGGGTCCCGGGTCGGAGTCCAAGCTGCGAGAGCAGCCGGGACCCCACGCGTGCGGGCGCCCGGGCCTCGGCCCCTCTCCCCGCCCTCGCCCAGGCTTGGGGCCCTGCGTGGACCAGCGGCGGCAGCCGCAGGCCTGACTCCGGGCCCCCGACCCCGGCAGGCCCGGGCGGGCGGAGGCGCAGCGCTGGGGCAGGCGCCCGGCGGGACCAGGCCGGGGCCCACCTGAAAGCGCCTCGATGGCCTTGAGGGCCCAGCCCTCGTCCGGACAGTCCACGAACGCGTAGCCCGTCTTCACCAGGAAGGGTCCAGACACCGGGATCTTGGCGTCCTTGAAGATACTTTCCAGGTCCGAGGGCACGGCGTTCTCGCTGAGATTTCCGATATACAGTTTGTTCATTGTGGAGAGTGGTGGTTTAAAAAAAAAAAAAATTATGAGAAAAACGAAAAATTAAAACCACCCCCAGGGGATGGATGGATCCGGCGGGTTTTGTTCCCCTTGTCTTCTCGCCGTTAAAATACACAAACACAGTAAGAACCAAGGACAAGAACGAGGAGAGAAAAATCAGATCCGAGGGTTGTTTTTCCCTTTCTGGGTATTAAAAAAAAAAAAAAAAAAAAAAACCCGAAAAGAAAAAAGCCTTCCTACAACCCAAACGCATCAACGAGTCTTCCTAACTCGGAGAAGGAGGCGGGATTAGCGAGAAAAAGGAGAAGAGGGGGAGGAGGAGGGGGGAAAACTACTTTTTGTCTCTTCCTCCCCAACCCCTTTGGCATCGGCCAGCGGACTGTGAAAATATCACACTACGTGAGGGCAGGCACCGCCTCCCCATAAAAAAACCCACAAGGGTGACTGGCAGGAGGGAGGGGAGACGGGGTGGAGGGAGGAAGGCGGAGGAGGCGGAAAAAATCCGCTCCGAGTGTCCGGCTTTTTGAATGAGCCACGTGTTCAAACTACAAATCAACGTCTCACGTGAGGAATCCCAGCGCCTCAATTAGAGTGGGGTTGGGGGGGGCGGGGTGGAGAGCGAGCGAGCGGAGGAAGCGGGGGAGGGGCGAGGAGACGGGGCGAGGGACCCTGAGAAGGGAAGGAAGAGGGGAAATGCCGAAGGGCCGCCGCCGGAGCGCGGAGGGAAGCGCGGCTGCGGGAGCCGAGCGGCGCCGCCGAGTTTGGAAAGGGTTATCTGGTCGGGGCGGATCCTGAGGGGGAGGGGACGAGGAGGGGAGGGCTATGGATTTTTTTTTTTTTTTTTAATGAGATGGGATGGGGGTACGAACTAGGCAATCCCTCAGTTCTGGGGCCGGAGTTTTAAATATTCGATTTCTTAAAATAGATCATTAACAAAACCAAAGAGTCACCATCCCACTCGCCTTGCGGCTTGGGTGACATTAGAAGTGTAACCTCGGCAAAGCCGCGAGCACGTTTCCAGCGCCGGCAGGGGCGGAAACGCCGCGAGGGAGTGGGGTGGGCAGGGGCGGGAGAGGCGGGCGGACGCGCCCCACCCCTGCACCCTTCACCGGCCGGGGCACCGGGGAAGTGGGGCGGCCCCAAGCCTGGGCGGTGGGGGAGGGGCGCTCGCGGCGTCCTGGGCGGGTGTCTGGGCGACACCTCCTCCGCCTGTGCTCGCGGTGGCTCTCGACTTCGCGTTTGCCATTGGTTGCGCGATTCAGAAAAGGCTCTGGGATAAATGAGGCCGGGGGCGGGCTTGGCCACCGGTGGGGGAGGGGAGCGCAGTGGCAGAGGTTTCTGGGGTGGGGACGGGGGCGTCCCGGGGCCTCCGAGGCCCGAGGAGAGAGGACAGAGTGGGAAAAGTCGGTATTTAAACGGAAACCATTTCTTCCTGTAGTTTCCAGAGGAGGAAGAAGAGTGGGTAGGCTGGTACTTTCATTTAAATAATTTTAGTTTGTTGAACTTGGGACTCAAAAACAGGAAGATCGCTCTACGTTACCCTTAGGTGGTACTCGCACTTGAAAATTCTTCGAGTCTCTTTCTGCCTGCATTTGGCCATGAGAACCATTAAGAATTTCCCTTGTGTGTAACGAGTACAATGGTGGGTGTTGGGGGAGGGTCTGGGCGCTGTGGAGCTTTCCTGGGCCAACAAAATGTGAACCGGAGACGAGGAACACGGAAATGAACGCTGGGCTGGGGTTCTGATGGAAATCTCCCAGGGTCGTTTAATGATTGTGTACTCCATTCACAGGCTTCATTTGCACCAGACACTTGTATATTTTTAACATGTAGTCCATGGAAAAGATAAAAAATGCTTAAACAAGTGAATGAAATTCTGTATAGCATGGAAATAAACACAAACCTCTTTAATGGCTTGATACTCTTCCTGGTAGAAAAATGCACTATGTAGTAGAGAAAATACTGTGATTTACACTGAAACATCTTAAGCAATTATGGCAATTGATAGTTTCCCTTGTCAAACCGTATAAGGCATGTAAAAGTGTATTTTCCAATTTAAAGATGAATAGCAGTTTTTTTTTAAGTATGTGGGAATCATTGCATAATGAGTAGTTACATTTTTTTCTTTTAAAATAAACTATTTTATAATTTTCTGTTAAGGAACCAGAAGATAACAGATCATCCATTTTAAATGCAACTGTTCTTTCTAACAGGTTTATTTCCCCCTGCCAAGCAAACCCAGAATTTTTAAATGTAAACCTCACTTTCACAGTATTTTCATTTACATGTTAGTAAAATGTTTTTACTTTATGATAGAGCAGACAAACATGTTTTCAGAACTGTGTTACGTGCTGTAGCTTAAAAAACCATTTTGGTGGTTAAAATTTTATGTTTATGGCTGAGTTTAACATTTTTTTCCCCCAAACAGTAGGTTTAACTTTTCAAAAGAGTTCACCTATTTTTCCTTTTCGTGTTTTTAATAAGAGAACCTTGGTTTTAAGAAAGAAAAAAATAGGTGTTCTTCCTTTATGAGTTCTGTAGTATTAAAAATGTAAATATCAAAAATTGTGAATTCTTCATGAACCTGTTGCATGTGATCAAGCTATTTGAAAAAATATGCTTTTTATTTACTGTTTGCTTTACTAAATATTTATTTAAATATTATAAACTAGCCTGTTGGTCATTTAACTTTTAGTAATTTCTCATTAAGAACAAACTTTATATGTTCAGCATATTTTTAGTCAATTGAATGATGCCTTTTGGATTTCTGACTGTATTTGGTCGTCTTAAAACTGAGACCTAAGGAAATATCTACTTCCAAAGCATTGGAAAAATTGTTTATTTTCCATAAATATTAGCTCATGCTTGTCTGTCACTATCAAACAAATCTAACAGCTGGAACTTAAAACAGTATGTGCTGTTTTGATGAAATATGTTCCTGGGACTCTTGTGAACTTAATCTGTGTATTATTGTAACAAACTGGATACTCCATCTAGGACCTTAAAAACATACACGAGTTATACAAGCTCAGACATCAAAAAGGGAGGTGGACACAGTCTACTTCGAATCTTCCAGGCACTGAGGGATAAGTATGTATTTAATGGCTGAGTAAAAAGAGTATGGGTAATTGTATTTTATTAGCATTTCAAATGCAAAAATATCTGATGGATTTTCAAGAATGAATATAAAGTCAGTCTAACTTCCAGTCTTTCGCTGAGTCTCACACAAGAATTTAACTATGTATATGGGCTACTCCAAATCTTCCTAAAGTAGTTGTAGCTCCTTTTTAATAATTCCACGAAGGACTCCCATCCATTGTATGTTCTCTGACCAGCTGAGTCTTTCCAACTGCAGCCTGTTTACTCTTTGGACAGCTGCACATCCTCATCTGCTGACCTGAGTGCAATAAAAATGTTTCTTATTGGTCACTGTAATATTAAAGCAGAAAAATTATGTTTAGAAGGTCGGTTACCGTGGCTGTGTCCACAGGTAATGAGCGAAGGCTGAGCAGGTAGACGATTCTCGCTGCCTCGGAGCCCAGCCGAGAGCCGAAGTCCTTAACGAGGGTGGGCTCGCAATGCCCGCCGCCGCGTCGCCTGGGCCTCCTAGGAGGTTTTTTGTTGTTGTTGGGTTTTCTGTTTTAGGTTTTTTTTTTTTAAACATACGCTGGCTCCTGCAACTAGTGCTCCTGGTCTCTGATCTGCTGAAACCAGATGCGTGATAAGTAGTAACCTGGCTCTGCCCTCTCTTCGGAATCTGCCTTCAGTTATTTTGGTTTAAAATAAAAAATGGTGCCCCGGGAGATGAAAAGATGGGGTTGTTTCCTTTTCCCCTTCCCGGAGAAAGAGGGGCGGGATCCTTGCAGCTCACACTGGAAGATCCTTCGTCGGCCGCCGGCTAGTCTCGGAGGCCCTCGACCACTGCACCGCCCTGGCTCTGCACTGGGACAGGCACCTTCTGGCTTCGCGTTGGCTTCTGTCTCACCGCGCACAGCAGCGTGTACGAGTTAGACGTGAGGACCCGGGGAGCCCCTCTCGTCCCCCCTTGCGGCACGACCCCACCTGAGGTCCCCCTGCGCCCGCCCGCGGGCTGCCAGGGCGAACCAGACAGCATGAGATTGGCGACCCTCCCACACTTCCGGCCTGTTATGAGTGTGCGAGGGCCTCCCTGGCGCTGCGGGATGCTTGGTACCCACGAAGAAAGCACGCCAGGAGCCCTTGCTGAACCCCGCGCCGCTGCCACGGTCAGGGCGGGGCGGCGCGACGCGGCGAGAGGGGCGCCCAGGGCGCGCAAACGCGGCCCCGGGGCGGGGTTTCGCGCGGTGCTGGGCCGACTTGCCGAGACCAAGTTGAGCAACCCGCGTGGAGAGACACCGCCCCTGGCTGGGGAGGGGGCGGGGGTTTCTCCTCTCACCCGATTGGTTGACGGGAAGAGCCTATCACCGTAGGCTGCCTCCGCCGGAGCCGTTTGCTGGTCTCCATTCATTGGCCCCCGAGCCGCCCCTAGATTTCCATCTTTTGTGGCGCGAAAATAACCCTTTGCTTCCTCTCATTGGTGAGGTTGGGCTTCCCTCTCCGTGTTCTCATTTTTCCAGCCCTTTAACTGTGAGCCCCCAGCGCCAACCCCCAAGGAGGAAAGGGGGAGGTAACTAAGGAAGAGTCGAAAATAGTTCTGCGTGTGCGGTGGGGCCCGCCCCTTGGGCTGACCGCGTGGTGCCCGCAGAGTCCTCTCCCTTCCCCCAACGCCCAACACCCGGAGGTCGTGGGTTTGTGCAGTGCTCAGCAGCTGGAGTCACATCTTGTCCTACATCTTAGAGTACATGCTTCTTTTTATTTAGTTGAAACAACAAAACACGTCTCTAGATGCCTGGATTTTTCTGAGCTGCTAGGGAACTGACTCATTCTGCCCCCTCCCCTTCTAACTTTGTGGTCCACAGGGTTGTTTTAAGCAAAATCAAACAACCCCTTCAAAAAAAAAGCGAACGAAAAAT